TTGTTAAGCAAACTGTTCCATTGTTTGAATTACAAGCCGCTGCGTTGGTTTCTATAAACCATATCTCAATGTACACATTGTATTTATGAGCCATAATCCTGCCTTGGCGCTGAGTCGCATTGTTCTGATTAATATGCCGTGTTATTGCCTCGCATGGATTTATAATCCAAACCATTGTTCATTTTCCACTTCCTTTATTGCTGTTTGTATTGTAAGTGCTTAAAGTCCATACGCAGCCATTTGGAGTGAGCTCAGCGATGAATGCAGAAATCACTTTCTTTTGTGCAGGTTTATAATTGATTGTTTTGCTTGTTTGGGTAGTTAAGCCTTTGTTTATTTGTGCTGCGGTGTCGTCTGAGTACACAGATTTGATTGCTCTCTGTGTGAGAATGAGGCGCCCCTCCTGTTTGAGGATTTTGAAGTTTCCTTTGATCTCCGCTTCAGGTATTCCTGGAAATGCAGCCGTACCGACGTCAGATTATTCTGTAGTACGTGATGTAAGCTGTAACCTGACACGTCAAACATTAGCTGGTTGTCTGTGTCTGTTATGTGTTCTCTAGTTATCTTTGCAGTGGCACTAATCTCAGTTTAGCTGTTTAAATGTCGAGGTTTAAACATCACCAATTAGTTGAAAATGGAAGCACTATTTCATCTCAGAGGTTTGGAAAGCTTGCAGCTGTCTGAACATTTTCCAACAAGCCACGAGTTGTTTTTATTCCAAAGAATAGGCTATTATATGTATATGTTATATTTTTGCAATGTCCTTGCATTTACAGTAGCACCCTTTTCTGTCATTTTTCTAACTTGTTCAAGGCGTTTTCTTATTTCTTTGAGAATAAATATATAAAGAATATATTAAATACACAAAAAAATGGCGATCATGTTTGAACCAATACTTAAATGATTTGTGAACATGAATATTCAAAAAGATTGAGTTCCACGTCTAACTTTATCTCACAGTTTAAGCATTGTCCAATAAATAATTTTTTTTAAAGGTATGCATCCTTCCTTCAAAGTGTCTTTTTGAACTTCACCAATCCTTCCTATCCTACAGTAGACATCATGTGGAAATAGTGTTATATTATTTAAACTGCTTGATGCACAGATGTGTGCTGCATCAGCAAACCTCACACTGTACACACTGTGTCTTTGAAGATGTGTCTGATCTCCGTATCACACACATCTCCTCTTATACTGTTTTATCTGCCATATTTTATTATTTCATGTTGAGACTCGCACTTCTTATCCGAGCTTTGGCTGTTCTGTCTGACGTGTGTTTGAATCTCACACATCGCTCCTGACTTTAAGATTCATTATTTATTTGTGTTGCTCGCCAAGCATGATGTAGAGGCGTGTGCATGCTACACTTTGATGATAACTGATATGAATTGTTTCCCACTCTCATGTGCAGATTTCACGCTGAGACATTAGAGGTTGTGCTGTTTTGATATGATGTCTTGAGGGTGGAGTCTTTCTGTGTTTGAACTCTTTGATGCCCACGCCTTTACTTTACTCCTCCTGGAAGCATTAAGTCTCCATTTGATGTGCAGAGAGCGTAATCCTGGTAGCTGAAGAACAGCGGGGTGTGTGGTTAAACCCTCACCCCTCTGATAGCCTCTCTGTTAGAAGAGTTTGTTCTCTAATGATCTTTCCTTGCCACTGTTGTGTTGCTTTGATCAGACGTGGTGTTCCTCAGGGATCTGACTTTGATCCCTGCTCATATTACAACTTGTACGCAAGCTGCCATGTTACCCTTTACGAAGCAAATTGTTTCTCCCTGTTGTTGCTATAGAGATGCAAAGGAGTTCTCTCAAAAGTCTTTAATATTATTTTTTTTCTATTAAGATTTGCATCACATTTTTCACATTTTATACATAAATGCAGAACTCTCTCTCTATTCTCTCACACACAAATGCCTGCGTACACCTGCGCACACATTAATACACAGTATACATCAACGTAAAGCATGTAGATACACATTTACAACAAATCGGGGTGTCCGCGGGGTCTTAATAAGTATTAAAAGTTGATAAATCAAATTAGCGTAAATTAGGGCTATTTAAAAGTATTAAACAGCATTTCCCAAGGTATTACGTTTTGTAGCTTGTTTTCAATAAGTATATAAATGGTCCAAAGAGGTTGTATTCTACAGTCTGCCTGAATGTAATCATTGCGTAGGTGTGTAGTGTGATTCTGTGTAGTTTATTTATGGCATCCCGTTGGGTTTGACGTCATCTGAACAGGACATCGCACGCTCACTGCTTGACAGCGGGCGAAGGTCCGTTTACGCCGGTTGTTAAGTAACATCGTTATGGGGAAATGCAAGTCTGCGTCCAAATGGTTGGAAGATAAGGAGGAAAGACAATCAATACTGTATATAGTCAATGTGAGGTAAAGTGTGTCGCCAAGGTAACCGGTTAGAACTCAAAGTGGCGATGAGGTCTTAAAATGTTTGGAAAGGGTCTTAAAAAAGATCTTAAAAGGGATTACATTTGACTTCAGGATTCCTGCATATACCCTGCAAATACATCATATACACGCATACTGTACAAATATACTTCCTGTCCCTCCCTAGGACAGTGTCCCTTTGATATAGGCCAAGAAGATGTGCCACACTCCATTAGATTTGCTTACATTATTTACCCTGGCGATCATCATTTCAAAGGCTGCAGTCTCTGTCATGAGTTTAAGCCATTCTGTAAACTCTGGCTTACAGTGTGTGGGCTCTTCCAGTTGCGCAGAATAAGCCTGGCAGCTACAATAAAACCTGTTAAAGTCAGTCTAAGTCCTGCTTTAGTCAGGCCTGGTGGCACAAGAGATTTGTCCCCCAGAAAAAAGAGCTGTGGTGATTCTGGTAGAGGTTTTCTGAGCCACCCTTCAACGTTTTTTAATATCACCTTCCAAAAAGGCAGTACCCTTGGGCAATCCCATACAGTAGAGCATGAAGAAATGTGCATTAGGAGAAATTACATTTCCGAAAAAGTCTTCAATATTAATAATATAAAACATTTCTACAATATAACAGTAGATGTGGCATACTTCCAAGGCCGTAGAGAAGGATGAAATATCAAGACATCTGACGTCTAAATAAGATATGTCAACGATACAAGCATACAGTATATAGAACAAAACCTAAGGAAAGAATTAACTATGAGTCCAGTAGAGAGTTACAGTCAGCAACGTATAACTACCTAGCTGAAAATGATCTTCTGTGGGTGCTAAAGTTTAGCTTAAGCTAACATTTGCACTTTGTAGAAATCCCCATGACATGAGAAGTGTATCCTTTGCCTTGAGGTATTAACCGTCCTTATTATACTCTTTACATTTTCAGTAGAGGGTGTCTCAATGATATTCAGTCCCACCGGTGAGGCTAAGTGTTTCCTTTGGGTTACCCGAATTAAGATGTAAAATGTATTATCTCAATAAACCCACCCCCTTTGTTTCACTGATTACCGTGTATTAACATGACATGACAAACTAATAACCACATAACAATGCTAGACACAAATATACTTTTATTACATTTCCTTTAGATAGTGTTCTACGATATCCGGTTAAAATGTGTCCTACGTTTGGACGGTGAAACCTGGCTAGTGTGTTACTAGTAGAGGAACTAAGGCCCCTAAAAGTTGAGTCACCCCTACCGAAAATAGTGAAGGGGGCCGTGTTGGTCTTATCCCATGTACCTCTGAAAATAATGATCAGAATGTCACAACATTTGGACTAGATGTTCACAGAGAGGCAAAACATACAATAAAACAAATATAATATCAATACCTTTTACCATCTTTCTAATATTAACACTTAAATACATGAATCATAGGCAGAAATGTTATTTATAAAACCAAAACTAGACATATTAAAGTAATAAAAAACATGGTTGTGCTTTGCTCTAGCTCGGGTAGGGGTATCTCGACAACTAAAGCCTTTTGGGGGGTTTGTTCCTCTACTCATACCCCTATAAATGATTATTCAAAGATTGGAAATTCAAAGAAAGATAATTCTGTATTCTAGTCATTTAAAGTTTCCTGGATCTTAATACCTACATTTTGAACAATGACTTTCGGTAGACTTAACGAGGATGAAATACAATACTTTTCATTGTGTTGTGTCGGAGGAAATGTTCAGGCAAGTTTTATATCCTGCGTTTCTTTGCTGGTTCAATAATTCATTTGAGTCAGAGAAAGATAGAGGGGGCCTGGAGGAGAGTCTAGCAGTGATTTATTGGTGTAAAAAGCTGCTGCTGCTGAACAATAGCAAGTTGTCAGCTTCAGACTCTGAGAGCAAAGAGCTGCCAAGTCTGTGCTCTGAACACAATAAGACTTTCTTTGTGATCTTTGCAGAAGTGGGAGCTTGTCTGAAGTAAGCAAACAAAATGTGACCGTGTTCATGGAGAGATGTTGAATGCAGAGTTTGATCTGTTCTTGCTGAAGTATTAAACACTAAAGTGAGCATATGCTGCATCATCCAGCGGCGTCAGACAGACGGGCAGCTGATGAAACTTTTGTCCCCGATTCAGTTTTCCACCTTGTTGCCTCATTGCTGTTTCATCGTCGTGTCACTTCACGAGAAGAGAGTTGACAGCGTGGAGCTTCTGGGGGAGCAGAGGCGAGGGGGGGATCTGCTGTGGATGACAGGAGGAGGAGAAATGAAGAACTAAAGAGAGAGGAAACAGACTGACCTGTCAACACTCAGAGAAATGAATGAAAGGCCGGGACAAAGAGGACAGACACTGGGGATTTGTTCTCCCAGTGCTAGCTTTGGTTCCTATATGCCATGACACTGATTGCTGATGATATGATGATGTCACATTTTAGACATTTGATATCTCCACATATAGGGCGACACTGCTCTGTATGAATGGGTGAACGACATGTAGTATGTAAAGTGCTTTGAGGGGTCTTAAAGACTGGATGAAGCTCTGTATAAGTACAGTCCATTTACCATTTATATGATATGAGTGCTCAGGCTGCCCTTGTGAACCCTGATTCTTCTATCAGCTGAACGTGGGTGGGATCAGACACGATGTTTGGTCGAATGATGGACAAGCTCCCAGATGTGTTGGAGGATGGATGGATGTTTATTCAGTGTGTTTCTCAGGAGGCACAGCGTCCAGGCAGAAGGGCTTCCGGGGTTGTATCCGCTCCCTGCAGCTGAACGGCGTCCCCCTGGACCTGGAGGAGCGGGCGGAGATCACCCCCGGGGTCCGGCCCGGCTGCCCGGGTCACTGCAGCAGCTACGGCTCGCTCTGCCAGAACCAGGGCCGCTGTGTGGAGAGAGCCAGCGGCTTCCACTGCGACTGCGGCCTGTCGGCGCACACTGGAGCCTTCTGCCACACAGGTACACACACATATATGTCAGGGTTCGTACGGTCATTAAAAACCTGGAAAAGTCATGGAAATTC